CCCCAAAACCCCCAAAACCCCAAAACCCCGTGATTAATAATTTTGATGCTTATTTTTTTTAATGATTTTAAAATTAAAATAGAATACGATCTTGAATACAGACAAAACATTCATAGGAATTGAATTTATTTTTTTTTCATATCAGCAAACTCCTCAAACTTCTTTGCTTTTTGCAAGGTTTAAATCAGCTAGGTTTGATTGTTGAAAGCAGGCTTCAATTAATTGGCTTGTTTGAACATAACGATTGGCTTCATTAGCTCACTTAGATTCCTAATAGGACTAGTAGAATGTTTCTGTAGAGTGGAGGGATCAACCTAATTTGTATTCTCTTGTGTTTATTATAGAATTCTTTAAAGTTGCTTTATAATAATTTCTTATTCCTTTATCACGTTTTATACTTCTAGTTGTTAAAGCTAAATTATCTGTTTCTTGCTCTCCACTTCATGAATCTACTAATCTACATCCATTTAAGTTTTGTAAAGGAGCTTCACTTTTTTATTTTCCTCATCTAATTTAGCCTAGAGTTCCCAGCAATCTTTATTTACCAAATCCATAGATCTATTAACAATTGGATCATTCTGAGCCTTCTTTTTTTCAATTGCCCTCAACAGCCTCTAATTAGAGTCCTGAACTTTATTTAGATCCTTCTCAACGTTGAGCTAATTTTCTTATTCCACTTTGAGCTCTCTTTGCAACCCTTTTTTAATCTCCCTTAGTTTTTTTTGTTCTTCATCAAGCATTAAAACAGTGTCTTTGCCCTTTTTCTATTTATGCTCTTCATCAGTCACTGCTTATTGCTGATAATTACCGACCACTTCTAGACTTTTGATTTCTTCTTCGAGACCTCCTCTTTATCTCGATAAATCTGTAAGTATGTTTTCTAATTATATAATTTTCTCCAAATTGTAAGTATCATCTATTTCTCTCTTGAGCCTCTCTATCTCTCTTCTATAATATTTAATCTTTTGATCCTTCTTGCCAATTTTAGCATCGAGTTCTTAAAAATTAGGTTTAAAAGCTAAACTTACTTTCACGATCTTTCTTTTTATCATCTAGTTGACCACTTTTTTAGTTTTTGATAATGTCTAATCTCTGCTCTGCCTCCTCTACCAAATCATTCAAAGTTTGAATTAGTTGTTCCTTAGCTTTTCTCCTCAGGATGCTTTAATTTGTATGAGTAAGTTAGCCCTTCTAAGGTCTTTTTTTTACTCTGAACAAATTCATATTAGGAAGGCCTTCATCATTTTTCACAGGAGACAATCCAGCTCTTAGGTTATCTTGCGACTTTTAGTTTCTGATTAGACTTTCATTTTGTTGATTTCCATTTGCTTCTGGGGGGTTGAGAGTCGGTAAACTAGTAGACTATTTCATTAATTAATTTTATAGTATAAGTTACAATTTAGAATTATAATTTTAAATAAAAATGCCTCCCAAAGCTCAGAAGGAAATCATCTACCCAATCACCTCAGAAGAACATTTTGCCCAAATTGTCAACCCTGAGAATAAAAAGCTTCACGGTACGATTAATAAGTTCTTGATACATGTATAGTGATTGATATTCATCTATCTTGGTGCGGACCATGCACTGTGATGAGTTCAAATTACAGAACACTTTATTTCGGTTTTGAAGAAGCTGATAAGCGTTTAGAGTTCTGGACAGTAATATACTTTATCTTGACAATAACATTATAGCTCGATTCAACTATGTTGCCTGATGAATACAAAAAGCTGGTTCAAGCCTCATGCAAACCAAAATTCATGATATTCTTGGTAATTATAGTCTATGATAAGATATATTAATGTAGGAAGGAGAATGCAAAGGTATTGTCGATGGTGCTGATTATACAAAAATCGAAAACTTAGTAAATACATTCATCCCAGGACTTGACGAATGAGTGTGAATATGAACGAATTCTTTTCTAATTTTAAGTTCTTAAATGTTAAATTAATCTTTAATTAAGAATCTTGTTCCTTAAAAACAATCAACTAATAATCATTCATAAATAAGCATATACTCTAGATATTCATTTTAAAAGGAAATTGTTACTCCTTAGCTATCATAGTGTTTCTTTCGAATCATCTTAGTCTGCATAGAAGCTATATTCACTTGAATGTCTCGGGTCCTTTAGCAATTAAGATCCGCTTACTTATCCTTAAGCATTTTGTTGAGTATCATTAGTATTTCTTCCTGCAGTGTCATAATAATTCAAACTCATTGAATCTTCTTAGTCTGTGATTTCTTCTTCTCGTACAGACGTAAGCACTAAAGTGTTATCTTTTGCAATGTTTTTGGTAAGCATGTTTCCATATCTTTAACTTTCAACAACAAAGCTATTATTCATTAACTTTGATACAGGTGGTAGGAACTGATCCGGAGAAATACTATCGATAAATTCAAAGTCTGGCACCTTCAGTTTTACCTGAATGATATCGGACTTTTCTAATTCTCTTGATATATCTATAGATTTTGCATTTTTAGGAAATACTGGCTTTTTTATTGTTGTGACATTTATGAACTTTTTAGATTAAGGCAATTTATTTGGGAGTATGCTCTGCTCTTGATCATTCTTAGGTGAATTATTGGCAGTGCTTGAGTTATTAGATACAAATTCTAATGACGAATTTATCTTCGGCCTTGATTGCTTCATGTTGGACAATTTTAATACTTTTACATCATTAAGGGGATTAAGAGAAATATTGGTGCTGCCTTGGTATTCGTTGCTTAAAAGTAGGTCATAAAAGTCTGATATCACCAACTTATCATACTTGTACTACAGTAAATCCATTAGCTTCTCATAAGAGTTTTAGCATGCATTCATTAGCTTTTTACCTTGAATCTTGAACATTTCTATTACATTGTATTTATTGAACTCTGGAATAAACTGAACCACATAGAATTTATTTTTAGCTTTAGAGATTTCTATTGTACTCTCAAATTCATCATCAGCTATTTTTTTATTTTATTTCCACAACACCTTTCTATCATCATCAATAAGCTTCCTCCCAGATACTTTCATTGGTCTTTATTTTTTAGTAAATTTCAATTTAGCTTGATCAAGTAATCTCGCATCTGATTCTGACCTTTCAATAGAATTTGTATCGTTCAAGAGTGAGTAACGATCTACATCTGGCTCTGGATCTATAGTTCTTAAGCGTGTTTAGTTAATCAAGGGTAAAATCATGTAGCTGTCTTCTCTATCTTCACCATTCGATGGATCAACGGATTTATGCTCCACATTTTTTAGCTTAGACAGATTAGAATACTATGTCTTCATTTTCTAAGATCTATCATCAGAAAAATTAACCTTAGACCTTTAAGTAGAAAATTAGTGAGGATACTAGCATATTTTTGACAGTAGCTTCTCTTGCTCAAGTCTTGAATCTAGCCAATCATGAAGATTGTAGGTAGAGTTCTGATCATTTATTCTTTTAAGCATTTTCTAGTTGTCCTGCTGTATCTGGTTGAGCTTTCTTTATCAGTTATTAAGTTTCAGTTTTTAGTGTGAATATTGATAATCATTGTTGTCTAAATTTTTTAACTATTTAAAATTACAGATCTGAGTTGTATTCTTTGACCTATTTGTAATGGAAAGCATTTTATCATAGAGAATTTTGTTTTCTCATTCAATCTCAGTATACTTATCTATATATTCATCAATTATTTAGCTTACCTTCAAGCATTTGAATTTGTTTCTCTTTGGCTATTTTGATTTTTTGGAATGATATTGTATCAAAAGAGTTGCTAACAGAAGACTTTGTCTTGGCTATCATACTCATATGGTGATCTCTAAGTCGCTTTTCTTCAAGTTATTGAAGAATTTTATTGGGTGCTCTTTAAGCTCTGTGCATATTAAATTATCTTCAAAATATAATTCTTAACAATTATATATTCACATCAAATTTTAGTACTCGGGGTTTTGGGGTTTTGGGGTTTTGGGGTTTTGGGGTTTTGGGG